TTTGTCTGATTCTGGAGACACAGACACACAGCTTACTAGCACACACGAGGGTGGCTCCATTGGACCATGCAAGGAAAAGGAGCTTCCCTCTGTCCCTGTTCACACCTAGGCATTTTGACGCTCAAAGCTAAGCGCAGCAAAACTCAAGTCTCAACACAAGAAATCCCATTCTTTTCAATGGCCCCTGTTGACACCTGAGAGTTTTCTTGCAAGCTGTAAAATGCTGAACGCTGGAAAATGCACATGAGTTTTTTTGGGCAGGTTACAGCACGTTTGGCCTTATAGCCTGCAATGGAAACACACAACGTAAGCGGTTTGCACATTTCTGTGCTTGGTTTTTGTGCACATTTGTCCATTCGCAGCAATGTATTTTAATCTGCTCGCTAAAGCGCGTGTTTTTATGTGTACATGTCTAACGCGCACCAAAATGTGCTAAATATGCTGGATGAAACTCTGGGAAAGATGCACACTAATATACGCGAAAACACTGAAGCCTAGGTGTGAACTGAGCCTAACACAGGTCCAGTGCTCAGGGGACCAGCTAATTCTGCAGGAAGTGAAAACTTTTAAAAATCAAGAAGCGGCTTCCATTGTAAGTGGAACATTTGATTTGGTTAAAAAACCAAATAACCCTTTCATTTCACAAAGGAGAATGACACAATAGGAATGGACAGGGGCTGGGATGTTGGCTTCCTTTGCACCATGTCTAGATTCATTGCATGTATTGTTACTTGAGTTTTCCCTTGAGTTCCCATCACTGAGATGCAACTTCGTAGGTGCGCTAAGGCATTGTTCACACCAAGCGCGTTCCAGGAGCAGAGCAATTACAGACTGGAGCAAAACTGCGTCCAATGTATTCCAATGGTATTTTTAGCTCCAGTTCACATCGCAGCGTTCCGTTCCAGAGCAGGTAAAAAGAACTGCAGCAGGCCCTATTTTACCTGCTCTGGAACGCATGCAAACACATCAAAAACGCATGCAAACGCCCTTGAACTCACTGAAAGCCCATTTTAAACAATATATATTTTTGCAGATTCCTCCATCTACGCTAAACTGTGTGGATGGAGGAATCTCCCACTGGGCCAAGCTTCAGTATCTTGCTAGTCGGCCCCGCTGGCTCTCAGAATACCTGAACGATGCCTGCATCCAATCAGATTGTTCAGGCGTTTTGAGAGCCAGCGGGGCCGACTAGCAAGATACTGAAGCTTGGCCCAGTGGAAGATTCCTCCAGCCACACAGTTTAGCGTAGATGGAGGAATCTGTTGCACTTTGTCCAACTGACCATGGAAATCTGCAGACAAACTATAGGTGTATGGCCAGCTTTAGTCTACAGCTAATTTATCCTGCAGAGCAGGACTGGACAAATCTCAGGCTAGGTTCACACCTAGGCGACACCTTGCCGCACAGTCAGGAGTCGCAAACGTCCGAACCGATCGCGCTGTGGGTGCTATTTATTTTCTAATGGCCCCCCAGTCGTGCCAGGCGGATTGCACGGTGTCCTGGCGCAATTCCGCCCGTGCTTTCCGAACACGATTGTGGCTAAAACAGCCTAGCGTCCTGTATCGCAAAACGAAGGTACTTGGCACCTTTTTTCTGCGTTTGCCGCGCGATGTCACCCCATTGAAATCAATGGGGCAGGGCGGCAATCGCTGCCTGCATTGTACAGGGCCGTGCTATCCCGGGACGCGTGTCCCGGGTGTAGTGCAGGTGTGAACCTAGCCTCAGGAGCCAGGTAGCCAATGCTCCTTAAAATGTACAGCTGGCACCTAACTTTTGAGGTTTTCTCTAGCTTTTAATGGGGCTGGCTTCTTTCAATCCTGTCAGCTCATGGGCTGGACAGACTGGATCCTGAATTCTATACTGTCTGTGATTACCTCACCCACACAGCACATGGGGAAATTTGGCATCCCCACTGTTCCTTTGACTGGCATTATTTTATAAGGCCGAGTTGTAAAATAGGTGTAATTCTCTGCAGTAGATAAAAACAAGAGAGGCGGAGGTTAGATTTCAGAGTTGACAAGTCTTGATGCTTGGTAAAATTGATTTCTTTTTTTCCTCGCACCCATTCCGAGTAACTCAGTTCTTCGCACCTTTTTCTTTCTGTCTGTGAAGTGAAGAGAGCATATTTCTCCATTCGTATATGAACATATCGATCAGAAGAAAATGTGATGTTTTTGTTGCCTTTAAAGCTTAACCGTAGACCGATATAAAATGCATAAATGGATGCAGCTCTGAAATCATGAAAAAATCAGTAAATATAAGTTCTTAAATGCGAGCAGTGCAAGTAGCAGGCCAAGGAAGATGCACACAAGGGATGGTGCGTGATACCGGAGCTTGGATACAGAGAGCATACACAAGGGAACATGTATAACGCAGGAACTACTGCACACAGGGTGATGGGCACAAGGGAAGGTGCGGGACAAAAGCAGACTCATGAGGGAATGAAATGGGAGACGTGCATAGCACGGCCACGGATGCACAGGAACCGAGCACTAGGGATGCACAGAGGATGTGCGTAGCACTGGGGAAATAGCCAACTGAGAGATCACAGGGTACACTGGAGAAGAACAGGGAACACAAGAATACGGGGAAGCAAAGGGCACAAAGCCAACACAGGGATCCAGAAATGTACACAAGAGATCAAAGGGTGGACCGGCACAAGGGTAGGACTTGTTGCTCAAACGACAAGCAACAAGTGAGGTAATGATAAATAGGGGAGGAGGTGTGCAGGGACCGCAGGATGTGCCATTTTGGAGATAAGCTGTAAAGTTTCAGGCTGAACAGTGTGTAAAACTGTGTTTTTTTTTCTTTTTTCTTTTTTTTTTTTTCTGTCTCTTTCAGCTGTTGCAGAAGTGAAGCTCCGGGATGATCAGTACACACTGGACCACATGCAGGCATATGGAATGTATAATTACCTTCACAGTAACCCATGGTGCCCTGATAGTGTGTTTTATGTGGACCAACTTGGTAGAATCTTGAACCTGGCGGTGACTCTGGTAAGAAATATTTAGTTTGCAGATTTTCAAATTCCTTTAGGCCCCATTCTCCGCCGTCTTCCGGGTCTTTCGAGAGTTCCGTCGGAGATCCGGTGACGTCACGGACATCGACGTCACCGGACTCCTCCCCCTTCCCCAAGTGGCTCCATCGGCTAACGTGGGAAAGGGGGGAGGAGTCCGGTGACATCTATGTCTGTGACATCACCGGACTCCTCCTTCCCTTCGTTAGCCGAGGAGTTCCGCCTGTTCGGGGGGCTAGAGAGGAAGCAGAGGGCCCGCAGCTCCCTTCATGCAAATCCCCCCTCCTTCCCCTCGCCGCTCTGCCACCCGTAGCAGTAGAATGTACGGGCAGCTGTGCGGGGAGAGGAGGCTGTGTTGGTCACCCGTCATCAATCAGCTGTTGGGAGAGGACCCTCTGGCTGCCGAGATGAAGCAGCTGCTGCAGGAGTCAGGTAAGGCTCTTAAACTGGGGGCATTCTAATTGACATTCCAATTTATATTATAATGTATTGCTTAGACTTGTAGTCCTGTATAGCTGGTGGTGTCCTGCATTGCTGTATAATGATTATACAGCAATGCAGAATACCACCAACTATGCAGGACTGCAAGTCCCAGCAATACATTATATTAAGTAGGGATGCATCTGTGCCAATACTGGGCATTTTCACAAGCACTCGTGAAAGTGACCCAATACTAAACGCAGATACTGGCACTGGCGAAACCGAGCCCTGGTGTTCCGCCAGTTTGGGGGGCCCAGAGAGACCAGAACACTGACATTGATTTGCCATGTGTTCCGGAGATCACACTGTGCCCGGGGGGCGTACCTGCGTTGCCATTGACTTTAATGCAACAACACGCCCCCTCCCGCCCCAGAATGCAGTGAGGCGGCCGGGATGCGATCAGTGCGTTCCAGCACGAATCGGACCGGAACGCACTGGAACTGGTGTGAACTAGCCCTGAAAGTCATAACATACATATAGGGGAATTTATCAAAACTGGAGCAGACAGAATCTGGAGCAGTTACCTATGGCAACCAATCAGCATCCACCTTAACTGAACAAACTGAAGAGAGAAGCTGATTGCTTGTAGCAGGCAACTGCTCCAGATACTTTTGCTTCAGTTTTGATAAATTCCCCTCATACTGTTTGAGTGTGTGTGTAGGCCAGTGTAGTTGGATCTGTATGTGCGTTATAATTAATAGAAATTAATCGATTTAAAACATTTTTTTATCGAACATGAACATTTTAATCATTACCAGCCCTAGTTAATTTGAATAAAGATTGGAAATAAATAATTTTAAAAACACAATGGAAATCCACATAGGTTAAAATTGTAAGTCTGCAGACCTCTGTTGACATACGTTTTTCGTGTGAATGGGCCCTTAGAGCTGAAACAACACTGGCAAAATATATATGGCTTTAAGGATGTGAACACCTATCCAAAATGTTGAGTTCAGGCGTTTCCAGAGAAGGTTACTGTTACAACAATGTCATAAAGATGTGATGGTCTTGATATACCTGTAATCCCCTGTACAGCAGGATTGTTGGGGAAGGATGGTCAAAACCTAGGGATTACCTTTTTTGGTTTGGGTTGACCAAGAACTCTTGTTGCAAGTTGCTAGTGCATCAACTTCCTTGATTTCAAAAGACAACTGTACTTTTGTACAATTTGTCTTTTTAAAATATCCCCTTTTCCAATTGTTGGCCACCTGGACAAATAATTACCTTCCTCCACAATGCAGCGGACTTCGGCGTGGGACTCATTTGTTCCTGTGTGTGAGCCATACTCTCCTGTACTGTTGGAGGTTTGCCTGAGTACACTTACCTATAGGAATGAATGCATGCATACCTATAGAGAAGACCCACCACAAATGCTTTTGCAGGCAAAGCCAAAGTTTGTTGGATCATGGTGGAAAGTAAAAGGTTTTTGTCCAGGTGGGCAGCACTCGGGTGGTGTGGGTTGGGGTTGGTTACAGGACAACTCCTACAAAGCTATGCTTGTCCATTAAGCCTATGTTGGGGGTTATGCCTGTCCATTAAACTTATGCCCTTGGGCCAACCCTTGTCTACCCACCATCCCCTGGTCCTATGACAATAGCTTAGTGGTCAGTAAGGTCACTGTTATTGGACAGGGGAACTATGGTTGAAGATGGCTTTTCTCTGGGGGTTGGAGCCAAGTCCCAACATCAGGAAATTTAAAGGAGATCTATGAGATGAGTGATTTTCACTCATCCTCATAGTTAGAGCTGACTTGTGACAAAGAAGCCGTCACAGGTCGGCTCAACCGATCGGGTAGTGAGCAGAATTGTGCACGATCTGCTCACTTCTCGATTGTCTCCCTGCAGTGAGTGGTGACTGTCAGTCATTGCTCCCTGCAGGGATTTCCCCCTTCCCCCTCGAAAAAGTACTCATTGAAGACACAAAAGGATACAAACAGGACGCAACTTCACCCTTTGAATTATGGACAACACCGAAAGAACTTCCATATTGGTCTAATTCCGCTGACTTCTATCAAACGTGAGTGAAAGCTTTATTATATATATCCGTTAAGGATTCCTTGACATTCAATAGTCTTCACTCTAATTCAAAGTCCAGTAAGAATAAGGATAAGCCTGTCACTAAAATAGTGGAAATAATGATTAAAGCTGTCTAAAGAGATCACATAATAAGGAAGATCCTGTATCCTTCAATTGCAGCAGATCACAACCTTGCTAAAGCCCGCTAAGAGGGGGTTAATAGCGCACACACACACGGCTTAATCGACACTGGTTGCTCAGAGGTTGCTGAAAAGAAAAGAAACTTCTTGTAACCACTCTGCCACTGTAAATACTAAACCAAACCTACTAAAAGCCCACGGTGAAGGGGTTAATAGCACACACTGATTAACCTACACTGGTTACTCAGAGGGCGCTGAAAAGAAAAGAAACTCCTTGTAACTATTTTTTCATTGTGAATACTAAGCTACCAAATCTAAAGCAATGCAAAAGGCAATTTTAAAGCCACAGAAGCACAAACAAATAGTAACAAAAGGAAACTTCTCTTACCTTAATCAATTAACGGATAGTAAACTTCTTACAACTTTAGGCGATATTCCATACGCAGAGACTCTCAGTGGTGGGAATTGGATACGGATAACAAACCACAAGTGGACTTCTCCTCTACTCCACAATTTGTGATGGTCCCCAAAAGACATGTGAAATATACGAGAGCAATTTATCTGATCAAACTGCTCATTAGAAGACCAAAAATTGAATGTCATGCTTCAATGTTTTAAATTTCAGTGAGTGAAATAATGGCTATGTTCCACTAATGATTTTTTCTTTAATAAATTAATATTTTTGGCAACTGAATTGCCTGTCCGGAGCCTCTATTAACCTCTTTGACTAGCTGTCTCCCACCAAGTCTATTTTTTTCAGTTAATGTGTTTATTTGGTTACGGATCTGATTGACTAGCAACTTGCATTGAAACAAATAGGTAAAGTTGAGAGTCGGATCTCCAGGAAACACAATCCTTAGATTTCCCCCTCTCCAATCCCCCAGCGCTGAGTGGAGGATCGGACGGGGGAGGGGGCGTGCATAGCTGGCTGTGCCTCTAGATAGGTAGAGCCAGCTGTCACTCGCGCAGCTGGGTGGATCTCAACAGTAATGTCGGAATCTGTCCCAGCTGCGGCGCTCACCGTATATATCGCGGGGAATGACCCGCTCTATACTGAGCTTTGGGTCACGGGAGGACGCTAGTATAGGTCCTCCCGTGACCCTAAAGAGAACTATGGGGAAAAACACTCACCGCATAGTTCTCTTTTAAGGCCTTTCAAAGCGGAACTAAATTGAAAAATAAAAAAAATTGCAAGCAGGCAGACTCTTCATTGGAGAAGACGCATGCTATGTCTATTCTAATAGAACGTTCTTACCTGCCTGTCCGAACGTTCTTACCTGCCTGTCCGCACTGCATATGTACAGCTCTGTGTGCATTGTAGGTATGCCATTCCAGCACAGCCAGTAAAGATGGATGAAGACCTTAAGCCCAGAAAAAGGGTAAATACTTTTACAGGATGTCTTTTGCCTGCTCAGACCCATTAGCTGTTCTCTTTTTACAGTATTTTAAAATAGCTGGCGGATTTGCTTTAAGTACAGGTCCTCTTTAGCTACTGAAGCTTAAAAACACTTCAAACTGGTTGACCCTTGATAAAAAAAAAAAATCTTAATTTTGTCTGCATTGATTGAATGATGAAGATGGTTGTTTATTACACGAATGAAGTAATAAAAGCCGGAAAGGATAACTCGTTGAAGAGCTTTAATGTGCATTCTACCTTCTCGTTTCCGCACGCTAACATCTTTCCATTTAGTGTTCGCGGCGTAGTCCTTACATAGTACTCGACAGCTGTAATGTAGTGTTCCTGTCCATTCCGATCCATTGTTAACTAGAAGAGAACTTCTAACGTCTGATGTCATAGCAATGAAACTCTCTCGCCCTATTTAATGTGATGTAAACTACCCGGAGGTTAGTGGCACGTGTGGTGAAAGCAAGCTCGGGTGTTTTTCTTTTATTGGATGCTCATTAAACGCTGGCCTTGCCCTTGATGAGTTTTCACCTCCCTTTCTTGGTGTCAGTGGACACATTTTTGGCAATATTTACAGTTCATCAGTTAATTTGTAGTGTCTCTGTTGCCTTGGTAACACCATATATTGCTCTAATTGCTGCATATGACCTTTCAAGTGTAGAGAACAGTGGAAGGTAAAATCTTGGCTTAAACTTATTTTTTATATTTTTGGAAAATATTTAATTGTTTCAGACATTCTCTGAATATAACAATACGTTTTTTGTTTTTCTTTTAGTTTGTTTTTATTAAAAGCTGCTATTTTATAACAAAAGAGACGTTTTGGCCGGTTCACAGCGTTCGGCTTACACTTGTTCTATTCGTTGGTGCTCCGGTGTACTGTGTATTTTTCATGGCACCCCGGTGCAATAGGGCAATGCGGCTGTGTTGCAGTACACTATAG